CCCTCCCCAGTAGTGTGCAGGAGGTGTTATCACACTTAAGTATCCGTGTAATGTGATGTACTTTTAAGTGAGTTTCCACACTGACAGGTTACTTTATTTAGATCAAATTCTGATGTTGGGTTGGAACACCATTTGGCATGGGCTCCACAGGATATTGCAAGATGTCTTTTTCAGTTGCAAGCTATTTCTTGAGAAGTATTTTTTTTTTATGATTGATACACAGGTGTTAGCAGAGAAGTATAATGGACTAATGTCATGAATTTCACCCTAAAGTTGTTTGGTAGATTGCTAACCTGTGTTGTGCTGGTCGTAGGAAATGACTGAAATTAATCTTGTTCACTTTGAATGAATGTTGGAAGTGGTTTTCTTCATCAATCTACAAATGCAGATGACCCAACTCCTGCCGTGTGAACATTTCTCACACTTTTATTGTAATTACCATAACTTGTACTGGCAGAATCAAGTGTCTCATGGTTTCTCTAATTATTTTACCATACATTAAGTACAGAAAAAAATGTGACATGGTCTAACCTCTGTTACACTTCACAAACCAGTCCAACTGTCGTTTTTTTCTGTCAGTCATCGTTGGTTGGTTACTTGGCAACCACAGATTTTATAGGAACAAGTATAATCCCTGTTAATAGAATGACAAATTTCAAAGAAAACCCTTGATAACAATACTGCAGTTAGAAAAGCACCTGCTATAATACTCCTGTGAAAGTCAGGGAGATCCTTGCTCTTGCTCACTGTCTTTAAACTAAGCATGATTTTCCTCATCTCAGAATTTACAGGGCACATGTAATCACCTAACTGGTCTATTTTGCATATGCAAATGAATATTTTTAATAGTTAATAATAGTGTACGTTTGAGATTCCTATTTCCTAATAAAGTAGCCAGTCAGGGTCTTTATCAAGACTTTGTATTTCAAGGTTATTAATATCTGAAAATTAAATCAAGTTTTACAGTCTCCCAATTTTAAAGTGTTTTGACACTAATTATTTTGATGACAATTCGTGAAAAAAGATAACAACAATAGATGGTTATTCATACCATGGTAAATATTGACTAAATCATATCAAGAAAACTAAGTAAATCTTTATCCCAGTGGTATTTTGAATTATCTCTAACTTATCAGTCTGTTATTTTAAAATTACAAGAAATTTCTGTGACAGTAATTTATGGGAGTTCAGTTATATAGATTAATTTTGTTTTCCAAATTTTGACCGGGTAACATTTTTTACAAAACTTACTACTTGTTAATCTATGCTTATAAAGATTATATAAACAAAGTTTTGAATTGTTTTGTCTTGTGCATTTGAAGGTTAAACTTGGAGAAATTAAAAGCATAATTTCCAACTGTGTATTTTTAGATGACCTTTCGAGGTGTAAGAAGCAGCAAATTTCGACACGTGTATGGAAGGCCAGCAAGAAAAATTAATTGTTATGAATGCATGAAAATTACCAAGAATGCACATGATAGTCACTTTTGTGCAGTTAATCCTAAGTTTGTTGCTATAGTAACAGAATCAGCTGGTGGTGGTTCCTTTCTTGTAATCCCTATTGAAAAGGTAAGTATCTTTTTTTTCAAATTGTGTTCGGCAGGGAGACAATGTTTTTGTGGTTCAAATCTATCCAGCTGACATTATTTTGCATGCATGTTTACGTGATATCATTACCTGATTAATACGTGTAACCCTTTCATCACCAGGTCAGTCAGATGATTTGGTTTTCTTGAAATTGTATGACATTAAGTGTTAAATTAATTGATTTTGTTCATCATCACATATCTAATAGATTTTTATCCTCAGCATCCCGAGTTATGTAAACAGACTGTTGTATCTACACTGATTTACAGAGCCAGTGTTCAGATTCAGTAGAAAAAAAAGATAGAACTAAGTTTCATTCAAATATTTTCAAATAAAATGGTTATTCAAAAACATTCCAAAAACATGCCTTTTACCAAAAAAACACAAACAAAAGTATTACTATTCCAAGAACTATCTTTTTCTTCACTTAAAGATGTTTTGGTGTACCCTAAGGATAAGAGACGTTTATCTGATTGTTTGTAAAGATTTTTAATGTTAAATATATAGGAGAATTAAATGACAATATGACAAAGATTAGAATTTATTTTGGGGTGGGGTGGGGGACAAGCATACCACAAAAAATATAATAATTTTAGGGTCTCTTTTTGCTGAAATATTCTTTAAAAAAATCTTATTGACTTGAATAATTATAAAATTTTAAACATAGAAACAATTACCAATACATGGATGTTTTATTTCAAAGGATAGCTTATAATAAATTCAGGTTCAACTATTGTTAATAGAGATACTGGTCAACATCTCCTTATTTAATTTTACAAACATTTATAACTGTTTAAAGACAATCCAACAGATGGCGCTAAGGGTGAGTCTTTTAATTTATAAAACGAAGTTTAAAGTAATTTCTAAGATTTAAACTTTGTATATCAAGTAATTTCTAACAAGTGCTTTTGTTACAGACTGGACGTTTAGAGGTCAATGCTGGAAAGGTAACTGGACACAGTAGGCCAGTGTTAGACATTAAATGGAACCCTTTTAATGACAATGTGATTGCATCCTGCTCTGATGACTGCACAGTAAGTAGTTTGTTACTGATTAGTTCTTCCTAATTTTAGTATCTTTGCTCAAAGAACAATATTAACATCATTCAATTAACATAAATAATTTAAACAAATGTAAAGAATTGGAAGCTAAAATGAACTTCGTGAGTTGTAATGCAGAATTTCAAGTATTTAGCCACCTTTTGTGATGTAACATTTTGTATTAAAAGTGAAGGTTAACAAATTTCTGATATAGTGACCCAATAAAAATTCCTTTAAACTTAATGGTGTTTAATAAAAGTTTCGAGTAAACTAGAATGGGTAATGAAGAAAACTTTATTATAAATTTACAACATTTTGACAAGATTACATCAACAGGTATGAGTATCCGATGATAACATAATCTTATTAAAACGTCGTACATATATAATAAAGTTTTCTTCATTACCCATTCAAGCTGTTTCAAAACTTTTATTTTCTATATAGTGGTTCCTCGTCATCGTATTTAAGTTCATCACGGTTATTGCTCGAGGTTGTGGAAGTCTTTGTTATTTTAGTAGCTCCCTCACATATCCATCACCATAAATCAAGCATTATACTCTACTGAAATTTGGATCAGAAGTTAAAAACACAAGTTTTAAAATGCTTTATGTAACCTTGTTCTTAAAACATTCGTGTTTTTGAAAACTTGTGTATTTGCTACTGTCGTTGATTACTTCCATTATCATGAGTTTTAGCGTACTTGTAAATGATACAAAGCTTGGCATTAATGCTTGCATGCTTGCCATTAGACAGTAAATCTTACATTTAGGCAAGGTAGAATTACACCTAGATTGTCCATTGTGGCAAGTTCATTTTGGAATAATTATTTTATAATTTGTTCTATTTCAAGATGTTGCTTCATATACAGATCTCAATCTGTTGCTTTAGCAGTATCATGTCATTCACACGGGTTCATTTTGTTGTTGGGTCACATCTAAATTTTGACCCCAGTTAGACTAACGCAGTTCATTGAGATCGTGAAACAAACTAGTCTGGTAGTATTGGTGTATTACTAACGGGATCGTGAAATAATCTAGTCTGATTGTATTGGTGTATTACTAACGGGATCATGAAACAATCTAGTCTGGTTGTATTGGTGTATTACTAACGGGATCGTGAAACAAACTAGTCTGGTTGTACTGGTGTATTACTAACAGGATCGTGAAACAATCTAGTCTGGTTGTATTGGTGTATTACTAACGGGATCTTGAAACAAACTAGTCTGGTAGTATTGGTGTATTACCAACAAGAATATATAATCTGATTCTGTTGTGGTTTCAAAGATTAAGTCTCCATGTAATAAAAAAATCTTGATTAAAAAATGCATATATTTGTCTATCAGTTCAATACAACCTGGTCACTCACCACTACTGTTATATTTTTTGTCTATCAGTTCAATACAACCTGGTCACTCACCACTACTGTTATATTTTTTGTCTATCAGTTCAATACAACCTGGTCACTCACCACTACTGTTATATTTTTTGTCTATCAGTTCAAGATTCAACCAGGTCACTCACCATTACTGTTATATTTTTGACAACAGGTAATATACAACCTGGTTACTCACCACTACTGTTATATTTTTTGTCTATCAGTTCAATACAACCTGGTCACTCACCACAACTGTAATATTTTTTGTCTATCAGTTCAATACAACCTGGTCACTCACCATTACTGTTATATTTTTGACAACAGGTAATATACAACCTGGTTACTCACCACTACTGTTATATTTTTTGACAACTGTACAGGTAAGGAAGTTCCTTTGGTCCTAACTTTGAAAATCTGGCAATCCTTTGAAAGGAATAGCTGTATTGTAATGTTTTATGACTGATGCTGTATTGAATATCTGACAATCCTTTGAAAGGAATAGCTGTATTGTAATGTTTTATGACTGATGCTGTATTGAATATCTGACAATCCTTTGAAAGGAATAGCTGTATTGTAATGTTTTATGACTGATGCTGTAAATAACACTTGGGTTTTACCCTAGGTTGCTGGTCCTGGCATCTAACTTGGGGTCAGTATTTTGGTTTCCTGGTTGAATTGCAAGTATACTTGTCTGTGAACAGTGTTTGATGGTTGTGGTAAAATTGCTGTCATGTGATTTAATATTAGTGTGTTATACGTCTGTAACTATCCATGCAGAATGTATTTTATGTATCCACTTTCATGGGAATTTCCAGCATGTTGAGCATGATATTATCTTCAAAACATTTCATTCACAGCTCATTCATTCATTATAGAGCTGGGTGCTAAGTTTGATTAATTGGTATAATTAATAACACATAAAATAATTGATTAACCAATATTACGATTAGATTGATTGTTGTCGCAAAAATAATCAACTATTGTAATTAATGATTGCATATATATATATATATGTTAAAGATTTCTTTTTATCAGAGGTGAAATTGAAAAGAAAATCTGTAATGTAGAGG